CAATCCTTTCAACCACATGTTTTCCCACTGTTCCAACAATATGTTATATCCAACATTCTTAACCCATTTTATCATACACTCTTTCACTTGTTCATCCTCCATTTCAAATTTCAGCAAGACTTTATACATTTTGGCAATTACATGTTCATCATTTATACATAATTCAACTTCAAATTCTTTCTTTTGTTGCTCAATTCCAAATGTCCTATAATCTACCTAGAATCTTTCTCTTAGATGCATAGAATACATACAAAAACCATTGAAAATTAAATCCCTCTGCAGCCAACTGTTCTCTTGATTTCATCTTATATTCTCCATGTTCTTGTTCTAACAGTTCTCAACAGGTTGACCATTTCTCTTTACCTATTATCGACCTTTTTCCTATAAAATACTTCTTGTGCTGAGATCCATAAAGGCACTTTTGTGCACAATCTATTCCATATTCTCAATATGGCACTTTTGACATAGTGATTTTAAAAATCTACATTAACCTTATCGTACCACAGAAAACCATGCCATCCAAACCTCAGATCATGCCCTTCTAATTCAAAATTATTTCATTTCTCAGCAGCACCCATTCTTTCCTCCAAACCAAACAGCTAGCTGCAAAATAGTTTTAAATCAGGCAATTCTCCTCTCAAAGGACTTCAGAAAGTAAAAGGCTTCAAGTAAAATAAGAATTATCTTCTCCTAAAGGTGGCTTCCTACTTCCTAAGTTTGAAGACTTTCTTTGTTGTTCAGTTCTGACTTTTTGTGACCCAATGAACATCTTCTTGCCAGGATTGTCTGCCTGCCTCCTTGAGTTCTTTTAAGTTCATGCTTGTGTCATCAATGAGAGCATCTAGCCACCTTGTCCTCTGTCATTCTCAATTGCCTTCAGTCTTTCATTAGGGTCTTCTTCAGAGACTCCTGCCTTGTCAATAGATGTTATAGAAACTGGTCAAAGAAAGATCCACAGTAAAATTATGATAAACTCTGAGTAACCAAGGGAAGACAAAAATAACAGCAACATAGAACTAATCATCTCTATCATGACAAGAGCAGGAAGTGGTCTGAGTGAGGAGGAGTCAGGAAATGCATAGCAGCAGATTCTGACCATATTTTAATGGCAGACTTCAGCGAAAGGAGGAAGTATGTACCCAGAGGCAACACCCATGGATGGTGCAGGCCATGCTGGAAGAAATACCAAGAATGATGTAAAAGAAGGATGGAATCAAGAAGCTCACTGAAGGCATCCCAATGGTCATCCATCTGCTGCGCATCATCTTCCCTAAGATCCCAG